GGGGGGTTACGGTGGGAATCGATACGGTTAACGACCGGAGCCAATCTTTCCGGCTGTACGTTTTTCGGTCAACAGTAAATGACTTGTAACTCCTAAACTGACAGTCTCACAGCTTCATGTGTTACAGGGTGATAGCAAACTGTTCTTATGCATGAGATAAAAAAATATTTCCTTTTTAGCCCACCTTTCTGCTTTTAAAAAAGCATTAAAGCGGGATTGTGCAACCGTCTTGTGCCCGTCCGTCCGTCGTCCATGTAAGAAGAAGGAGAAGAGCTAGAGGTCTTCAAATTTCAGGGTATCTAAGGGGTCACTTCTGGACAACGAAACGCCTGATGCAAATCCTGGCAACCATCCCTAAGGGGGTGTAAGGGGGAAACAAAGAAATAGGGGTTGGTCCAAAAAGTAGGAAAATTATTTTTTTAGGGTTTGCTAAGGGGTAACTCGTGAAAGTAGACGCCTATGGCATAAAATTTTGTCCGTTTGACTCTATCTTGAACCGTTTGGGCGCTAGAGTGTTTGTTTTCCACGAAAATACGGAGAAAATGACCACGTTGCACATAAAGAGGTAACCGTACGTTTTTCCCAAAACTTTTTTTCCAAGGCTATTTTTCTCACATTTTTCTGGTCCCAAAAAATAATTTCCAAGGCTATTTTACCAAAACAATTTGTACCAAAAATATTTTCCCCAGTATTAGATAGTTTTTTTTAGAGAGTGAAGAGGTGTCCAAGTGTGCGTAGGTTGTCGAGGACTCTGTCGTCATTCTTGTAGACACCATACTCGGTGACGACTGTCTTCACGCGACGCTGCTGGTCCGGCCACTTCTTTTTGGGGGCGGCCTTCACACGGCGGCCCAGGGTCAGCTCATGCCGCCTTGCTCGAGGACCCCGGACGTAAGTTTCGCCGAAGTACTGGGAGACGTCTCTGACCGCCGCTATGGAAGGCTGCGGTCCAGCGCGATGTACGTGTCCACCACGTCGTCCAGGGTACGAACGCCAGTGCGAGGAGGCTCTGCACTGCGTTCTTGACGCTGCGGTCCTCAGGATCGTTGTACGCTTCCTGAAGACAAACCGCTGCCACCTTACGGTCCATAGATTGTCCTAGGTGGAAAAAGCAAGCCCGAACAATGCTGTCGGGAATTATGGCCTTCACGGCGTTCAGGATGGCCACTTCGAAGTGCGCCATGACAGAGTTGGGGAAAAGGAGGGGCACCCAGAATCTTGTTGCCGCATTCTTCACGACATCCAGCACCTTGCTGTAGTGCACTGGCTGCTTCGTGGTCATGAGGGCGTAGACCAAAGGTAGGGCGGTCTTTCGCTCTGCCTCGCCTACCTTGACGGGAGGTGACCTCACAAGCCCCAGGATATCCTGGTGAACAGCTGAAGGAACAGGTGCGCAGCTGTCTTAAAGGTGCCGTCGAGGAACCACTCCGTGCACTTCATGAGTCTCTCCACGTTGCGCCGGGTGCCGAAGACAAGGAGGCGCTCCTCTTCATCGCCGCCCTCTTCATCGTCGTCCTCGTCACGAGTCATGCTTGAGGAACGGCTCGCCCCCCATGGTGGATTGATATCTAACAAAATTATATTTAATG